CAGCCTGAGCTACAGAGTGAGTTCAAGGCCAACCTGGACTGTTATAACAAGTCCATTTCTCAGAAAACAAAAAGACAAAAAATATATTTATTTGTTAAGGAAGATTAAGACATAGGCTTTGTCTTTAAGCAATCTAGAGTCTGGTGAAAGTGACAGATGCCTGAATAGTCATTTTAATTAGTATAGAAAACAATAGATAAGTATGGGGCTGCTCTGGCAGTTCAGAGAAGCAGCATTTGACCTAACCTGGAAGTGTTAAAGAAAGGGTCCTTGAGTTAAGTGAAGACAAAGCAGAGTTTGGGGAGGGACGGCCGAAGCTGAAGTGTAGAGCCCTAAGCGGCTGGAAGCTGGTTGAACGTTTGCCTGCCTTAGGCTGGAGTCGCCCCTCCTTAGCTGAGGGTGGCTGCGCCCACGCATTGTAGGACGCTGAGGACGCTGAGCGGCATCCCGACGTCTGCCCACTAGATGGCAGCAGCACCACCACTACCCTTACACCAAAACCAGGTCCGTCAACTGAAAATGCAGACTTGGGCCGGGGATTTAGCTCAGTGGTTTCACCAGGGTTCGATCCCCGGTACCAAAATTTTAAAAATGCCGACTTCCCCTCGGGGCACAGTCACTCCTGGGTAAAGAAAAGCACTGATCTAATCTAAACTTTAGATAAGTTAGGACGCCACGTTTGTATTCTGAACCTAAATCCCTTCGCGTTTTCTTTTTTTTGTGGGGGAGGGGTTTTATTTGGCTTACAGTTTGTAGAGGTTTCAGTCCGTAATGAGCCGGCTCCCAGGGTAGCAAACAGGCATCGCGGAGGAGAAACAGCATGGCGCACACAAGGCAGCAAAGGCAACAAGAGAGTTAACAGCGTCTCCCTGCCCCTTTAATCTTACTCAGGCCACTTACAGCGGGCAGCACTCTCACCCTCAATCCTAGTGCTCTTGAGCCTAGCACTGCACCATGAATCAATTCCAGCTTCACACGCTGGAGATCAGGCCTATGACCGCATGAGGCTTTGGGGGGACATCTAGACCCAAACCATAACATTCCGCCCCTGGCCCCCCAAAGACTCATGTACGAATTTCCTATACACAGAAGGCATTTAGTCCACCTCTAAGAATTGCCAAACTCTGAATCATTTTAGCATTGCTGAAAAGTCTAAGTCCAAAGTCTCCTCTGAGATTTAAGGCAAACTCTTAACTTCAGGCCCCTGTACAGATGAAAAGAAAGTCAAACACTTCCAACATTCAGTGGCACAAGATAGACATTTCCATTCCAAAAGGTACAAACAGGAGGATACAAAGGAATGGGTCCAAAGTAAGTCTAAAATCCAGTAGGACAAACATTAAATCCCACGGTTCCACTTCCAGCATCCCCAGGAATCTGTGGCAAGTTGTGAACTCTGAAGGGCTTGGGTGGCTCCTCCCCTGTGGCACTTCTGCTGCTGGTAGCTCCCATGGCTTTTCTCTTGAGCTGGCTCTGCTCCCTCCTTGCAACTTTCCTCAGATGATCCACGCTTGCTCGTGGCTTCTCCAACCTTCTGGGGTCTCCACTGCACCTTCAGCTTCACACTCACAGCTGCACACACTGCCCTCTCGGGGATCCTGCCTGGCTTCCCAGGCCTTCTTCTGACATCTGGGTGGAAGACTTCCTGACCCCACAACTCTTACATTCTGCAGGCACCTAAAACCAGTGCCATGTGGATAATGCCGAGGACTGCTGCCAGCTGGAGTAGTAGTAGCCAGTCTTCCCTCTCTCTTGGCTGTAGGGGTCGAGTGCCTGGATTGCTGAGCACTCTGAACCCAATCCCGAGGAACAGATTTTCTAGGCTGCCGCCATTTTGGAACAACTGCCCTAGGCTGCCGCCATTCTGGAATGTGGTGTGGCTGTCGCCATTTTGGAACCTGGTTCTCTGGGGCTTTTTTCTCAGAGCAAATTCCTTCACCTTTATAACTCCAAGGCTGCGAAGTGTGGAGTCCTGCTGCTTCCTGTGATGTTCTCAAACCATCTTTTCTGTTTTCCTGTTCCTTCTCAGTAATCAAGATCTGCTCTGGGGCGGGAGCTTTAGCTCAGTGGTTCCGCCGCCTGCTGTGCAAGCGCAAGGACCCGAGTTAGATCCCCGGTACCAAAAGGAAAAAAAAAAAAAAACACAAAGATCTGCTCTGCTCTGTCTTTGCAGTCCACAGCTTTGCTGGGGCTTCCTTTCTGGCCCAGCTCAAAATGTTTTAAATCATTCTGCTGGGCTCTTTGCTCTTGATTCTCCACATAGATCTGGCTAAAAGCCCCCAACAGTAGCCATGCCAGTGCCTCAATATTCGACTACCTTGAAATTTCTTCTGCAAGATTAATTAGTCCACCACCCTTAATCTCAGTCTCAGGCAAAGTCTCTGAACATGAGCAAAATTCAGACAAACTTTCTGTCAAGTCATAACAAACATCATCTGGAGTCCAGGAGCCAATGCAGACCTTCTTCCTAGCAGAAATCTTCACAGCTTGGTCTTTACAAGCTTTCTGGTCTGCTAATCGCTGACCAGAATCTCTCATACAGAACAACCTAAGGTGTTCCAGCACTGCTTCTATAGCCAACGTCTCTGGATCGTTCCTAACTCTTCCCCTTCCCACAAGCCAGTTCCAAAGGCTTTTGAGCCCCATGACCAGGTAAAGTCACAGCAACAATGCCACTCCTGGTACCAAATTTCTGTGTTAGTTACTTTTCTCTCATTGCTGAGACAAAATACCAGACATCCAAAGTTAAAGGGCAGGGGTTTATTTAGGGTTAGGGTTTGTAGAGGTTTCAGTCCATAATGAGCTGGCCCCAAGGCAGGGATGGCAAACAGGCATCACAGAGGAGAAACAACATGGCGCACACAAGGCAGCAAAGGCAACAAGAGCTCGTGTGTTCTTTTAAATTCCTTTTTTCCCTAGTAAAATTTTATTTTACACTTTAACCTAGTCTTAACCAAAGAAGAGGGAAATTTGTTTCCACATCTTTTCAAGACAGAGAAAGTGTGTGTCCAGAGTTCTAGGGAAAGGGTGGCTGTGATCAGAACAATACAGAACGTAGAGGACTGGATAAAAGATAAGTACAGTAAAGCAGAAACTGAATCTGGATAGATTTCTTTCTTGTTTGGTTTGGTTTTGCTTGAGATGGGTTCTCACTATGTGGCCCAAGCTGGCCTCAAATTCACAGTGATCCTCCTGCCTCAGCCTCCCAAGTTCTGGGATAACAGGCATGTGCCACCACACCCAGTTTAGATAGATTTTTTTTTCATTCAGTGTAAGAACATCAAATTTAGAACACTTTGCTAGTTTTAATTCTTATAGCAACCATTTCAGCACTATGTTCAGGTGAGTTCCACAACTAAAATATGGAAATTTATTTTTTTTTAGTGCTGGAGTTTGAACCCAGGGCCTCATGTGTGCCAAGCATGTACCCTACCACTCAGCAACACCCTCAGCCCCAAAGTGGGAAATCAGTAAACTTAAAAGTATAAACAAGGCTTATCAGTTTCTAAATATAAGCTGATACAAAGAAACCCGAGGCCTTTGTGCTGAGCTACATCCCTGGACAGCTCACTTTTGTTTTGAGACAAGATCTTGCTCACTCAGTCACAAAGTTGTCCTAGCTGGTCTCAAACTCTTTTTTTTTTTTTTTGAGACAGGGTCTCCCTATGCAGTTCAGGCTGGCCTTGAACTCACTGCAGCCCAGACTGGCCTCGAACACGCAGCAGTTCCCCGCCTCATCCTCCCGGGTTCTGGGCTCACAGGCATGTGCCACTGCACCTGGCCTAAACTTGTGATCATCTGTGGCAGCCTCCCCCAGTACAGGGGTTACAGCCCTAGGCCATGGCACCTGGCTGTGCATGTTCACTGTATTTTCAGTTAACCCTGGGGAAAACCTCTTTCTCTCTATTCACTGTCCTCTCACCGTGAAAAGAAGTACATGAGTTGGAAGTCAGTACCGAGCAGTAGTTTTAAGAGTTAGGAAGCTTAAGTTACAATCTGCTGCCTGCTAGCTGCTTGGCCTGAGCAGCTAGTAGGACCTTCTCTGAGCCTCATAGATAAAACTAAAGTTTTGGACTAGGTGACCTCCGAGTTTCCCTCCAGCCTGAAAGCAGCGTGCATCTCAAATTCAAAGTTATCTAAGAAACCAGTATTTTCCATACTTGACGTTAATTTGGCATTTTGCACAAAGCAGCTGGGACAAGGATGACCAAAGCAGTGAGCCTGCTATGAATGAGTTTGCAAGTGGCCCTTCCCCTGGTCAGTGAACTTGACAGTCAGGCTCACTGGGCTGTGCTCACCTAGCATGGGCAAGGCCCTAGCTTTGACCCCCAGCACCTCCCAAAAAATTCATTCATTAATTTTTAATAGAATATGTAGAATTTTTGCGAGAACTATTACCGTGATATATATGGTAAAATGTCACTTATAGTTAAAATACAATAAAATTAGTGTGTGTGTATATATATATATATATATATATATATATATATACACTATACATAGTGAGGTTGCTATAACTAAAATTTCTTATTTTTTTTTCAATTTCCCCAACTTGAAAATTATCCATGGATGAACTAACATTAAGTTACGTATTCAAGGCAGTACACTGGGAACAGTTTCCAAAACCATCCTCTGTTATACCTTAATTTTTAATATATCACAAAAATATAAATAATTGGGGAGATAAGAACAACCTATAAAAGGTTGATACTGAGATAGTGTGGTACCTTTCTAAATGTCAATGAATACAGAGTTACAGGAAACAGCAAATGTGGTTAGAAATAGATTGGCAAATCTTTGGGTTTTTGAAATTTAGTGACAGCTGTTAAAAACATGTGTATAGGGGTCGGGGATTTAGCTCAGTGGTTCCGCCTCCTGCCTTGCAAGCAGAAGGACCCGAGTTCGATCCCTAGTACCAAAAAGAAAAAGAAGAAAAAAACAGTGTATAAAATATTTGGTGTATTTCTGAACCTTTCTTCCTGTTTGTTTGTTTTTTTCAGGCCCAAGAACAGTATTTTTCTGGGCTCCAATTATGAAATGGGTAAGTCTGAACTTTTTGGGAGGGGTGGGATTGAGACAGGGTCTCACTATGTAGTTCAGGCTGGTCTGGAACTCACTGTGATCCTCCCGCCTCAGCCTCCTGAGTGCTGGGATTACAGGTGTAGGCCACCATACCTGGCTAGTCTGAACATTTTACAGGAGCTATTGAAAAAAAATTCTTTAGTAGGAACCTTTTAATTTGAGATAAATTGTATGAAGGATATGCTTTAAAATATTATCAGAAAAAATATCAGTATGTCTCTAAATAATTTTACAGAAAATACTCTCTGTCATATCGTTTTCACTGCATAAAGCATACTATTCACTTTAGTTTCCCTAAGTCCCTAGAAAAGAGGCCTTCTAGGAGTGTATTTACTATCAAAACATAATTTAGGTCCCCTAGGAACATGAAATTCCATTGTAAAACTTTACCACTGACCTAGGGATATTGCTTATATTGCTTAGTGATAGAGTGAAAATTTGGCGTGCACAAGGATTCACAAGGGCCTGTGTTTTTGATCTCCAGCATGGGAAAAAAAAAAAAAAAAAACCAGGCATGGTAGCATGCATCTGCAGTCCCAGCTACTGGGGAGGCTGAGGCAGGAGAATCACGAGCTCAGGAGTTCAAGGCCAGCCTGAACAACATAGTGAAACCCTCTTTCACTCCGTGTGTGTGTGTGTGTGTGTGTGTGTGTGTGTGTGTGTGTGTGTGTACTAAGTAAAACCTTAAATAAAATAACTTATTATCAATGTGTGGTATAAGACAGGGAGAGAAACGTTTGTCTCAGAGTAGATGGGTCTATCCAAGTGTATATATTAACATTCGGTAAATGGCAGAGTCTGGGACTTGTGACTCAAGCCCGGTGCTCTTGCCCTATACCAGAGCTTCCTAAAGTTCCTATTTAGCTGCGGGGGCAGGGGGGGAGCTCAGTGCCCACTGTAGCCAATCCCTGGCTTCATGTTGAGAGGAAGTCTGGCTCCTGCTTCTCAGTGCCTTCTGGCTCTGCTGCAGCTGCAGGTGACTTGCTAGAAATGCTGCTGTTTGGGCCGCACCCCAGACTGACATGGAACCTTGGGCGCAGAGCCCGGTGAGCTCGGGATGTTACCGTTTTCGTCTTCTGATGGACACTTAAAATTATATAGTAGTTATGTATCTGTAAAGTGGAATGAGCCGGATGTGGCGGCCCACACCTGTAATCCCAGCAATCAGGAGACTCAGGCAAGAGGACCACTTCGAGTCCACGGCCAGCCTGGGGTACATAGTGAGACCCTGTCTCAAAAAGACAAAAAATAAAATAAAATAAATAAGTAAAATAAAGTGATTTCATCTATTTATACTAGCATTGGCATTTATCTGATCTGTTTTCCGAGTAAGGATACAGAGGTTCAAAAACTCCGTAACTGTACACACTATCTTTAGTAAATGGCCTGATGAATGGAGTCAAACAGACTCCAAATCCTATGTTAGGAACTCTTACATTACCACCTCTAATATAGTCACTGTGGATCTAGTACTTCCTTAGCCTGCTAGGGAATATTTTGCATAATTTTGTAGTGTACAATGGGAACTTTCGGAATCTACAGTTCAGCTACTCCAGTAAAGTGGAAAAGGACCCCAGACAGCCCTGTGCCTGATCCTGAGGCGAGTGATGCAGGAAAGGGTCCCTGGAGTCCCATCCCTCAATCTGCTGCCCTAAAGAGGCCAGCTACTGTTATTTTGTGTTCTTGATCATAATATTTTTTGGGCACTGTACTAAGTACTGTTCAAGCATACTGTCCCAGTCCTTACATGAGTCTTGCTAGGGTAGACAATAATATGCTCATTTTACTTTACGAGGAATTGACTATAGGTTATACTGTAACTTGTTCAAAATCACAATGAGATTTTATAAATAATTTCTGTAAGGTCAGAGTGATATAGAATAGAAAGGGATTTTTAAAAATAGGAAAGCCAGGCACTATAGCTTTGACATGCCCGTTGTCCCAGCTACTCAGGAAGCTGAGGCAGGAGAATTACTTGAGCCTAGGAGTTGGAGGCCAGCCTGAGTGAAACACTGTCTCAAAAAAAGAAAAGGTACGTGGAAAAGGGAGAACAGTCACTAGCATATCCCAGGAAATAAAGTACCTAATGGGAGCACAAATAATCCTAACTGCTGATTTTCTTCCAAAAGTGAGTGCTAGGGTCTAAATTCGGCTCAGAATCATCCTGGATGTATTCATCGGGCCGCAGTGTCGTCCATGGACCCTGTGGAACAGTAGCAGAAGTCAGTCCCTTTCTTCTAGTGGCAGTTTTCCCCCCTGCAGAAGTGGAGCAAATGTGGGGCAGGGGACATACACATGGGAGCTGGAAGAAGTGAGGAGGGACGCTTTTTAAACTAGAAGCATTGCTCTCTTGGAATATCAACTTCATTAATTCAAACCATATGGACTGGTTTTAAATTTATGTATTAAACTCTTAGGTATCTGTGCTCCATTTAGGATCAAAACCTTTGGCCAATTTACATTTTCCATACAAGAGTGTATTTTAGGAACTCAGTAAAAACCTGGAAGTAATTTCTAATGGCATACGCAGGGTATGCTTTAAAGAGGAAAAAAAGAGAGAGAAAAAAAGGGAAAGGGAGGTGAGGAGGCAAAGTCTCCACAACTAACGACTCTGGGTTTGAATTTTGCATGAATAAAAATTGTTTTATTACATTTTCTGATTTCTGCCATAAAGTACCATAACTGATCTTCTAGTGAAGACTTAGAGCTAAACTTTCTGAGCGCTAATGGTAGGATATGAATGGGATGATTCTATAAAAGACAATATTAAAAGTACAACAACTAGGGCTGGGGATTTAGCTCAGTGGCACCGCTGCCTGCCTTGCAAGCACAAGGTCCTGAGTTCAATCCTCGGCACCAAAAAAAAAAAAAGAAAAAGTACAGCAACTAAAAATAACATAAAACGACAGAATTATGTATTGCAATGTATATTAATAAAAAGTGAAAGCACAGTAGAAAAGACCACATAGACTTTGACATTAAAGAAAAATGAACTAACCGAAACCTAAAATTGTAACCGCTTTTCTGAGACTTAAAAATAATAACATGACAGAAAACATAAAAGGAGGGCTCCTTCCTGCATTGACCGCAGCTTCCGTCATGCACCACGTTTTCTTAACCCATGGATGTGACAGGGACAGCACCGGTCTCCCTATGGAAGTGTCACGGTGTGTCGCATCAGACATGAGGGCGGGAGCCGCTCCCCGCACTCACTCTGTCCCTGCTTTCTGTGTGTCACTGTCCAGGGCTTGGTGTGTGCTGGGTTGGCGGACATGGCCAGACCTGCGGAAAAGCTTAGCACTGCTCAGTCCACTGTGCTGATGGCCACAGGTAAGTTAAAGAGCACCTGTCCTATCCCCCCAAACATGAACTGTTTGTGTTTTGTTTCACATTTGTTCACTTAGCAGTTCAACTTTGGAAATATGTACATGCATGCACGCACGCACAAAGGAATTCACAGGATTCTCTGGCTCTAGGAAGTTATCCTCTCATGAGTGAAGGGGACAGAGGAAGGTTATCGGCAATAAGTATCTGTAGGGGTTTTTGTTTTTTAAGTTTTTGCCATAAAAATATTTTTGCAAGTAAGAAAAAAGTTACAGTTCCGATTCATTTGTCCTGTCCACCTTTAATGTCAGAACTGAGAATTCTGTTTAATGCTGAATTACAAAGATTTTTTTGAAGACTCAGGCAATAGCATTTCTTCATCCTTCACTCTACATTATTATCATAATCTTATTCATAATTATTTCACCCTAATATTAAATATTCTGATAAGTTATTGCAGCAGTACCTGTGCTTTTAAAAGAAAATACTTTGTTTCAACAGGATTTATTTGGTCAAGATACTCCCTTGTAATTATACCCAAAAACTGGAGCCTGTTTGCTGTTAATTTCTTTGTGGGGGCAGCAGGAGCCTCTCAGCTCGTTCGCATTTGGAGGTAAGCCTACCAGGATATTTTTAAAACTGCTTCAGAAGCTACCCAGATGGCAGTATTTTTTTAAGATTCATATGTAAGGCTAAGACAGGAATGTGACTGAGACAGAAATGTAACATTTTCTCCAGGGTTACAAATGAGTTAAAAGCAGTTAAACCAGGTATGGTGGGGCACGCCTGTAATCCCAGCACTCAGGAGGATGCAGTGAGTTCAAGGCCAACCTAGGCTGCATAGCGAGTTCAAGGCCACCCTGAACTATATAGCGAGATCCTGTCTGGAAGAAAAAAAAAGAAGAAAAGAAAATTTAAAATCTTTTTTTAAAAAAAGCAGTTAAGCAAAATATTGCCTAGTTTTTTTTTAAATGACAGTATTTTTTATTTTAAAAAGCTGTATAATATTCCATTGTGTACACATACCACATTTTCTTTATCCATTCATCCACTGATTGTCACTTTGCTATTGTGAATAATGCTGCGATCAAATGCAGAAGTTCAGCATTCTTGGACATAGTGATTTCATTTCCTTTGGATATATAGCCCAAGTGGGACTGCTGGCTTATATGGTAGTTTTACTTTTAACTTTTTGAGAGAACTCTCTACTGTTATTCATAATGGCTGTACTAATGTACATTCTCACAAGAGTGGGGAACAGTTCTCTTTTCTCCTCATCAAACCTTGTTACCTTTTGTTTTTTGCTTTTTGTTTTTGTTTTTTTGGTACCGGGGATCGAACTCGGGTCCTTCCACTTGTGAGACAGGTGGTGGAACCACTGAGCTAAATCCCCAGCACCAACCTTTTGTTTTTTTGGATAATCATCATTCTAACAGGTGTGAGGAAATATCTCTTGTTCTTTTTGGTTTTCATTCCTTTGATAATTAGTGATGGTGAACATTTTCTTCACAAACCTACTGGCCATTTATAAGCCTTCTTTTGGGATTTCCCTAATTTTAAATTAGATTGTTTTCCTTCTCCTGAGTTGTGTTCCTATATATTTTGGAAATTAACTCTTTATTAGATATAGTGTTTGCAAATATTTTCCTCCATTCTGTAGGTTATGTTTTTACTCTGTTGACTAGGTCATTTGATGTAATCCCATTCCTATATTTTTACTTTTGTTATATTTTTTTTTGAGGTCATATTAAAAAGCACTGTAGATCAATATCATAGAGCTTTATCCTGTATGTTTCCTTCAAGTAGTTTCAGGTCTTATGCTTAAGACTTTAATTTGAGTTGATTTTTGTTAATGTTAAAGAAAAGTGTTTAATTTCATTCTTCTTCATGTGAATATCTAGTTGTCTGAAGAAACTGTTCTTTCTCTTTGTGAATGCATTGTCTAGATAGATAACCCTTCTACCGTAGTTCCTTTTATTAAGACAACATGAAAACCTGGGCACAGCAGGGGACTTCTACAATCCCATCTACTCAGAAACCTGAGGCAAGAGGATTGAGAGTTCAAGGCCAGCCTGGGCAACTTAGCAAGGCCCTGTCTCAAAGTAAAATTTTAAAATTAAAAATAAGAAAGGGCTGGAGATACAGCCCAGTGGTAGGGTATTTGTCCAGCATGCACAAGGCTCTGGGTTCAATCCCCATTACAATAAAATAAGATTTATTAACTAATTTCCAAATAAACCTTTTATCACTCACTTGGAGTTATATATAATATATATCACTCACTTGGAGTTTATATATATATACAGAAGTGAGACTTGAAAGCACAGTTGCATAATATTGGAAATAACGTTTCGAGTGAGGACACTGGTTCCATTGAAAAGTGTTTCGTGAGCACTAGAAATTTCTTAAACTACTCAATAGTGATAATACGATCAAATATTAGAAATCAAGATCTTTTAGCTGGGCATGGTGGTGCATTCCTGTAATCCCAGGTACTTGAAAGGCTGAGGCAGGAGGATCACAAGTTCCAGTCCAGTCTAGGCAACTTAGCAAAACTTTGTCTCAAAAAGTAAAAAGGCTGAGGATACAGTTCACTGGTAGAGAGGCCCTGCATTCAGTCCCCAGTAACAAAGAGAGAGAGAGAGAAATCAGAATCTTTTAAGAAATGTAAGTGGTATGGTACATTCTGTGGAATAACTTCCTCCTTGTGCTTATACAGAGTGTTTTTCACTCTCTTGAAAGCTAGGAAGTAAAGTTCAGAGTGTTATAGAGAGGAAAGATTATGTGGCTTAAAGTTATTTCATGTGGATTAATGAGCATTAAGCTTCAAAAAACTTAAGTCTTTACAACTTGTTGACCTATTTTTTAAGTACATTTTACTTCTCTGGTTAAACAGGAACCTGTTCCCAGTTGATTTTATTCTTAGGTGCTTTGTGAGTGTAAAGCAAATAATTCTAGTTAACCACAGTTTGCTAAAACTTTATACTCATGTGCATGTTGATCATGTTCTCATATAGTGAAAGAATGAAAATATTCCTTAAGACAGTACTTTTGCACCGGAAGTTATGTCAGGAAAGCTGCTGAAACCTCTTGGTAGTTGGGATCTCACTGTCTGAACACAGACCAATGCAGACAAACCTCCGGGTCACTGTCCCTTCTGCCAGATGCTGTCAGTAAGCTCCTGGGAAGATTGTACTTACAACTCCACAGCCACTTGACAACTGGGAAAGAAGAAATGGAATGTTTCCCCTTCTCTCCTTACCATAAATTTATTATTACTAATGGTTACTTTTTTTTCTGTTTTCTTTATAGATATAACCAAGAACTAAAAGCTAAAGCAGTCAATTAAGAGTTCCTGATCACCCGAACAGTCTAACTGTGGACACAACCACTGGGACCCAGCTCATTGCTTGATTATTCACAAAGCAATGCTAACTGTGTTAACACTTGGGGGGCAGACAAAAAAAGTCTGGCTGTAATGGGTAACTAGTGCTTGTTCCACAAAAAAATAAAGCAAACTTTTAATAAGTCTCTATTTACGTATGACTTAAGGTACTTAGCGATGGATATTAGTGACGTATTTTTCTACCGTTTGTCCATAATAAATTACCCTTGGTCATCCATACCCCAGCCTCCTGTTTGAGTTAGCAAATGTGTGCACATAAAAGAGCAAACAGGCCGGGGATTTAGCTCAGTGGTTCTGCCACCTGCCTTGTGAGTGCAAGGTCCTAAGTTTGATCCCCAGTACCAAAAACAAACAAAAAAAGAGCAAACAATCTGAACAAGATCCAAGGCTGCTTATTGCAGGTCACATAGCTCTAAGTGGGAGCAGGTATTGCTGAAGAGGGAGAAATAGTGGAATAACAAGCAAAATGACCTCAGACCTTTGGCTTTTGCAGTCCTGGGGCTTAAACTCAGGCAGTGCTGAGCTACATCCCAACCCTTTTTAAAGTTGTTTTTGGTTTGAGACTGAGTCTCACTAAGTTGGCCAGGCTGGCTGTAGGCTGGCTTCTCCTACTTCATCCTCCCACACCTAGCTGAAGCTATTTTTTATTTTTTTTTTTTTTTTGAAGCTATTTTTAAAAAAAAAAAAATTTAATATGCCATGAAGAGAATTTTTCTTTTTTTTTTCTTCCTTTGCATATTTATAATTTTGTGGGTTTTTTGGTACCAGAGATTGAACTCAGGACCTTGCACTTGCCAGGCAGGTGCAGCACCACTGAGCTAAATCCCTGGCCCTGAAATTCTTTTTATAGCTACAGATTTTTTTTTTTTTTTCGATGTCTATGTGTATACATTAGGCCAGCTTTAAACTTGCTGGGGGCCCAGGCTGGCCTCAAACCTTCGATCCTTCTGCCTCAGCCTCCCAAGTGCTGGAATTGCAGACACGTACTGCCCTCCAAATTCATTACAGCTACAGATTTTGGTACAGGATTAGTAGAAGTTTTTAAATTAAATTCAGTAACTGATGCAGTATAGCAGAAAATGCTCTGAGTCAAACAGACCTGAATCTGAATCCCGGTTCTGCTGATTTATAAGCTATGACTTTGGTCAGGTTATGCACCTAGCAGAGTACTTGGTACCTAAGTAGGCTTTCCATAAATGGTTATGGCCTTTGTCCCCATCGTGAGGAGAGACTGGGCCTAGATTACTCCATCCTAGACATGATCAAGCATCTGTTTGAAATGCTAGTAAAAAACCCATTAGAACTATAATCAGATGAATCAACAGAGCAAGTTGTTTTAAAGTATGAAGAAATAAGAGACGAAATAACTTGGCCAGAGGCAGCTGGGGATCAAACCCAGGACCTTGCACATACCCTTACCACTGAGCTGCACTCCTGCCAAAGAGCTTTCTTAAGATAACTGATAAAGTTTTGGCGATAAGCAACAGAAAATCTTGTGTTTTGTCATTTGTCCCTTCATCATAATACAGCTTTGAGGAGAAAGGCTTCAAGAACCTGACATAGGCAAACATGAAGTGGTCCTGAAGAGGGAAATGATGCTTTATCTTCATACCCCATGCTGTTAAATTCATCTGCTTGTCATGTGTGCACATGTGTTCTCAAGGTTGAACATTAAGGAAAACTTGAAGCATGGCATAGACACAAGAAAGTTTGTTAAAGTGTGTGTGTGAGTTGGAGTTTCAGTCCTCATGCAAGCCTGTTCCTTCCTGTGTGGGTCAAATTAACTATAGCAGTAAGATGTAATCAGAAGGAATCCTCCAGGCCAGCAGTGGGGAACCTACGGCACACGTGCCACAGCAGACTGTTTGTAACATTAAATGGTCTAAAAGATTCACCATCACTGCTCTAGGTTCTCAGCAGTTTTATTGACAGACCACTATCATGTGTTTATTTTCTGCCCAGAAAACCTTAATTCATCCCAAATACTGAATCTTAAAACTTAAGTGACTAACATACGTCCTATCAAAACCCCTCATTACCACTTGGAACACATAGTCTAGTCTAGTGATTAGCTTTGCAGCTGTTCTCAAAAATTTATTTTATATACTGGAAGTCTTAACTATCATTGTAAATGCTGAACTCCCTGGAAATGCTTTCCACAGTGTTACAAATCACTAGATCAGTGGTGTTGAGTTCAATTGTATGACCCAGTTTTCTAACCAGTCCTCATAGGTGGTTTCATTCATTAGTTTTCTCAGTGCCAGGTTGGGCAGGCCTGGGTTTCAGCTCAGCTCAACCATTTGCTAACTCAGACCTGAAAACCCCTGTGTGAGAGAGTATTTTCAAGAGGAAACCAGGAATAACAGCACTGACTTCTTAGGGCTGCTGTAAAGATGGAAATCATGTTTTAATGCAATGCTTGGTTTGTGCTACTATTAATAAAAAGAAAGTGCAGAAAATGTTAAGTCTAATTTAAAATAGACTGAAAGTACTCTTAGACTAAGGAAGTTTTGCCTTAGTTGCAAAACATGATACCTTTAACCCAGTCTTTTGTGATTTGGCATTCATTTTAAAGAAATATTGATGCAGGTACATCAGCATTGCGATTAACCCATATTAAACATTTCTTCTTATGTTGTTAAAATGATAGTGAAAGGTTGAATGTTAACAGGGGTTAACCTCAAGGTCCGAATTCCTCTTTGAGGCAAAGCCCCTACTGGCACTTGTTGAGGTGACCCAGAAAGCACTGGCATTTACTGAGCCAGAGTCCCTCCCTCAGGGCTCTGCGTACTAACACCAGCAAATTCCCTCAACAAAAACAACTAAATGAACCTCTTTTCTCCTTTTTTTTTTTTTTTTTTTTGGTACCGGGGATCGAACTTGGGTCCTTGTGCTTTCGAGGCAGGTGCTGGAACCACTGAGCTGAATCCCTGGCCCTTCTCCTCTCTTAAGACAAGCATTTTATAATTTAATTACTGTATAGGGCTGAACTGCATTTGAGAACATGTGTGAACTGAACATTATTCAGTTCTTTTTAAGCTCAAGTTTTAACTACGTGTAACTACATGTGAATTGCTGGGATACACATAAGAACAGTGAGAAAATCAAAATATGATTTAAGCTGTTAGAAAACATGCCTGCCTGTTAAAACGTTTTTACAGTAGGGCCGGGGATTTAGCTCAGTAGTTTCGCCGCCTGCTGCGCAAGCTCGAGGACCCGAGTTCGGTCCCCAGTACCAAAAAAAAAAATTCCAATGCAGTGCCACATTGGATTTGAAATTATAATTGGAGTAAATTTGGTTAGAAATATGCCCTCAAAAAAAAAAAAAAAAGAAATATGTCCTTGGGCCAGGGATTTAGCTCAGTGGTTTCGCCCCCTGCTGCGCAAGTGCAAGGACCAGAGTTCGATCCCCGGTACCAAAAAAATAAAGAAATACGTCCTTGACTATTCAGATAGGATAGGTACGCAATTCTCAAAAAAAAAAATCTTACCTCACAAAAATCTCTGAAATTCAGCACTGAGTTTGTTAATAATGAAATAGAATGGTTGTAACAGCATCTGTGCTGTCATAAATGTTCCTCGAATGTGGCCTCTCATCTCCCATGGAGCAGCCAGCATATCAGGCAGATACACTAGACAAAGGGATGACCATGTCCCGGACAGAACAGACTAGGGCCACATGAGATGTCCTCACACTTCTCAGAACAAACTGCAACTAAGGAATCAAGAACTGTGTATTTCTGTAGTTTTCCATTAGTATTTGCAGACTGGTTGACCAGTTGACTGCATCCTTAGAAAGCAAAATCACACGTGGGGTGGCAGAACGCCACTTCTGTTTTTGATGTTCACCTGTCAGCCGTTGGCTAATTGGAATCACCCTCCACAGGGTCGGGGAGAGTCACTGAATTACTTTGGTTCGAATCAGTCTCCCCTGCCCCAAGCCCCTCTCCCATGCCCAGCAGAGACCCTTTGAAGCACAGTGGACACCCCCAGCCTGGTGGGGGAGGGGCCCAGCCAATCAGAGGCTTCATCAGCCTTGCAGAACAATGAGCTGCTGGGGAGGGTGTGGCCTGAAAAACGGCTTTTCGACAAAACTGTCGCTTTGTGCCTCAGCGATGGATAGTCGCGGGACTTCTGCGGTCTTCAGGATAACGTCGCCCAGACCCCTCTCCTGTTTACCACACTCCTGAAGGACCTAGCCCCTCAGCCGGGCTCTGGCTTTTCCTCAGCCGTGGAGGAAGGAGGTATGTGGAAGGAGTCTCAGTAGGGCAGAAGACAGGCCAGCCGTCCTGGAAGGAGACAGGCTACTGGCGTTCAGAAGATGGGCAAGCCTGGGGCAGGGAGTCCAACCAAGCTCGAGCTCCCATTTATTTCTGGGTCAGTCTGCGGAGGCTGGAAGTTTAAAGGCTAAAATATGAGCCCTTCCTCTTTACCCTGGATACTCTGTCTTTCTAGCTTAGCCTCTTTACTGGCCTCTCTGCAGCAACTTCTCACATAATATCCATGTTTTCATCATTTATCAGATAGTCCCTACCATGTGAAGGGGGCCAGGAGTATGCTGTGGAAGAAACAGAGATAAGTAAGGAGTTTACAGCTCGAAGGAAGACAAAATATGAACAGGTCAAAAAAAATAAGGTCCTTCACATAGAAAATAAGCCATATGGTCTAGGTTGAGTGGCACATGCCTATAATCCCAGCTATGAGGAGGCTGAATCAGGAAGATCATGAGTTTGAGCCCAGCTTGGACTGTGTAGTGAGACCCTATCTCAAAAAGAGAAGGAGAGGAGGGCCCGGGATTTAGCTCAGTGGTTTCGCTGCCTGCTGCACAAGCGCAAGGACCCAAGTTTGATCCCCGGTACCAAAAAAAAAAAGAGAGAGAAAGAGAGGAAGCTACATAAGCTTATAGGCACTAAATACTAGCTCAGAGGAAAAAGTACCATGGCTAGAGCGAGAAAGCTTTCGTGGCTCCACCCCTTTAAATCATAGTATCGCCTCTGCTCTCTTGTGAAACCTGACTACATGAAAAGTCGAGCATAAACTGAAATCTATTAGAAAATTCTGAAAGAGATATTTAGAGAAACAGTGGATATAATCAATCTCTACTTTCTTTCATTTTCACTTTTGGGTGCTGCTGACTTTTCCTTAAATGATGCAACTGTGCACACTTTCATTCCTTCAGAAATGCTTTCTTGTCTGACTTTGGGCTTTCATTTGCCTGCTTGCTCCTTCACCTGGGGCTCATCAGGCCCAGGAGCTTTCATGCTTCCACAGTACCCAGTCTGTTCATGCATTAGTCTCGCTGTGAAAGAATTGGCCAAACCAGTATGGCGGCGCACACCTGTCATCCCAGCACTCTGGGAGGCTGAGGCAGGAGGATCGCAAGTTCAAGCCCAACCTGGGCAACTGAGTGACTCAGCAAGAGCCTGTTTCAAAAAATAATAAGGGGCTGGGGATGTAACTCAGTGTGAAGCCCTTGGTGAAGGCTGCCATCAACATATATTCAAAGGGTTCTATCTAAGATTAAATACAGCTTTTCTCTAGTTCATAACACTGTCAAAGCATACGCAAACAGATTCCAGCACAGCATAGTAGAAAGAAGGCCTCTTAAGTCCCACAGACCTGGGTCCTCCAGTTGTGGGATTAAGACCAAGTTAATATCTCTGAGCTTCAGTCTCTGCGTCTGTAAAACAGTGATGAGGTCTAACTCGGTGCTGATTTGAAGATTAAATGAACCTATGCAAAATGCTTCACAAAACAGATGTTAACAAATTATAATGACAAGTACTATGTGTCTATAGAAAGTAAATACCATCTTCTAACATTACTGTACTTCAAGCCGAAGGATTCTTGTAAAATAGAAATGTTTCTTTGTCTTCTTATGGGTATTTAAAAGAAAAACTAGAGCCGGGTACAGTGGCGAATGCCTATAATCCTAGCTACATGGGGAGGCTGAGGGAGGAGGATGGAAAGTTCAAGGTCAGCCCGGGCAATTGAGCAAGACCCTGTCTCAAGACAAAAATAATGGGGGCTGAGGATGTGGCTCAGTCGTGGAACATCTGTCTAGCATGTGCCAGGCCCTGGGTTCAATCTGCAGTACTGAAAGGGGACGGGGCGTTCCTAGATATTCATTGTAGATGTCCTTGCTTTGTAAGTATATGTATAAAATTTTTCTTCTAAGACGTTTCACTTGTACATGTGTCCTCTTCATCTCAGAATGCATCTACTTTCCTTGCTTAGGGATCATGAATTTGAACCCTCAGAGCACCTTATGCAAAACAATGGAATCTTGGCAGTCATCTCATTCATCTTCCCACTAAATGTGAGAATCACAGACCTCACGCACGAATGGCTCTCCGCCCTCCCGGCTAAGCCTGCCCAGAGGGAATGTTCAGCTGGTGGTGTTCATACTTGCCTTCCAGTAATTGCCAGCCATTGATCCTTGTTGATCTTTTTGAAGAAACAGAATAAATCTAACCAACTTCCCATTCAGTGTTAAAACTTCGGCAGAAATGACTGGGTGTGGTGGCGCACACCTGTGATTCTAGCACTCAGGAGGAGGCTGAGACAGGAGGATTTCAAGGAGAGTGAGTTCACGGCCAGGCTGACTACAGTGAGACCCTGTCTCAAAAACAATCAATCAATTAATTAATGTAATTAAAATTTAAGTAGAAATGGTCTGTACAGTGCATGTGAGGAGGGTATGGTATTGCCAAGATTGGAGGCTTTTATAAAAGGTTCCTAAATATAATGCAATGTTTAGAATATATGGATTATTGTTTATTTGAAATTCAGATGTAAGCTGGGCATGGTGGCACATGCCTGTGATCCCAAGCACTCTGGAGGCTGAGTCAGGAGGATTGCAAGTTTGAGCCCCAGCCTGGTCAGTTTAGTGACTTAGTGAGACCCTGCCTAAAAAAAAAAAAAAAAAAAAAAAAAACTTAGATGTAACTGGGCACCCTTTACTTTTATTTGCTCAACCTAGCAGTCTTACAAGTGGTGGCCAATAAAAACAAAGTTGAGCTACTGAGCTGACAGGCAGGAGAGAGCAGAGCTGTTTGGTCTGCTCAGCCTTCTCAGTCCTCACCTGCTCAGCACATCTGTGGAAGCCTTTTCAGAACATCCATGCCTATAAAAAGCATCCTAGCCAGGGACGGGGTACACATCTGTAATCCCAGCTCTCAGGGAGGCAGAAGCAGGAGGACTGCAGTGAGCTCGAGGCCAGCCTGGTCTACATAGCAAAACCCTGTCTCAAAACAAACAAACAAATAAATAAATTAGCAGGTATCCTGTGGAAGGCCACTTGTTCATTAATAAACGTGAGCATTCCACTGAAGAAAAGTTACACTTTTCCCTCTGCACTTCTCCCGTGGACTTCATTCATGTGTACCCAAAGCAAATCTCTAGGTTATGGAGCGAGCAGTTCTTTTGTTAACCATAGGGACCCACGTTAGACTTTGCTTGGGGACCTGTGTCTCCCACTTCGCACTACTTTATCAATGTTTTTTTAGGGTGACAAAAATTGTATTTTATTTTCTCATGATTTCATAGGAGAAATAAAATGATTCTTACAAATGTAGTTCTGAGGAATTCCACAGTGTTCAGCTATATATAGTTCTTTGGATCTGTAAGATAAACAGGCTTGTTGCAGTTCAGGCCTCAAATGTATGAAGTCCAGGGTTGGATCTTTGGCAGTATCCCAGGGTAGAACTGAATTATTTTCCCAGTACCATTGACTTTTAATTTTCTTATAGTAAATTCCAGCCCAGAAGAAAGATTTCATTTCCTCTCTGTTTATTTTCACAAGACTGGTGTTTAGAGATGAGCAGGTATGTTGACTCTTGCTCCAAGTTAGCTTCTCCTTAAAGAAGTAATAACAACTGCATCTGAACCAGACCCAGTCCTTGGGACAAGGCTGACAGTGAGGTCCTTCTTGCTGGATTGTAGGAAATGTTGTTTTGGGAGATGAGTTTGCAGTCAAAACAGCCACAATGGTTCCAGCCATCAGAAGAAGGAACTTGACATGAAGTACACTAGAAATGAGCCTCCATGGCAGATGTGAGGAATCTCTTTTGCTGGTGATATTGTCTGCTGTGGTTTTGTGCTTTTTATGTTTGTGGTGTTTTGCCTCCTTTGTGATGACTGGCAATTCATTTGAACTACATTTATTTTTAATATCTTTTTTTCTGGTGGGCTTCGCCGCAGAGTTCTTGTTTAGTGTAGGAAAAGTTATGGGCTCTTCATTCATCTTTACAAAGGAAAAAACTGCAGGGAGGAGGAAAGTCCAGGAACATGTCACAAAAATGCAATCCATGGGAATCCGAAGCGGCAGGAGCTGGTCATTTAGAGCAAAACTGGAAACTGCAGACCCAGGTAGAAAAAGTGCCTGCTGTGTTGTGTCTCTTTTTATAATCACCAATAGGAACCTCTTCGCCAAGATTTAGTTGTTGTTGTTTTCCTCTAGCACCCCACAAGGGGGCTGAGGGTACTAATTGGTTCAGGTGAGATAATGCATTTCATTTCAAGGCTGTTATCAGGTAGTTTGTTTCTAAAAAGTGGCTCGCCAACTAAACATTACCAAGTTCTGGTTTACTCCCCTCTCCTTCTGGAGTTACATTCCAAATTCTTCTCACCTCAAACAAAGAACTGAATGAAACGAGCAAGAAGCAGTGGCAAAGTTTATTCAAGAAAGCAAAAATGAAGAGTGGGAGAGAAACTGTCCTGCAGAGTGAGCTTGGACTGAGCAAATAGAAAAAGAGGGTGAGAGCGAAGATAAACGCACACACTGCATCTGGGAAACACAACATGGGCTATCATAGAAAGTTATGATAACTCCACTACTTTAAATTTGGCCCAATATTTGGCTTCTTTCTTATGTTTTGTTTTGTTTTTTGGTACCGGGGATCGAACTCAGGAACTTGTGCTTGCGAAGCAGGGGCTGGAACCACTGAGCTAAAATCCCTGGCCTTGGCCCAACTATTTGAAGATGATGACTACTATGTTAACCCATATGTCTCCATCTCCTGACTTCACATTTCCACTCTCTCCCATTATTCTTCACATTCCATGGTCAATGTACTTCAGATAAAGTAAGCAGGCCAGATCTAATCTTCTGGATCAAATTTGAACACTATGCACCTTAGGATTGTATTCCACCAAAGTGGCCAATAAACAGCTGGACATGGAGTGCACACCTGTAAACCCTCTGGGAGGCTGAGGCAGGAGGATTGAAAGATCAAAATAAAAACAACTGGGGATGTAGCTTACTGTGGAGATCCTGGGTTCAATCCTCAGCACCACCAAAAAATAAAAAATAAATAAAAATAAAATAAACCTATGAAAAGGTGCCTAATCTCATTGGTACCACCAGGGAAGCACAAAGCCACAAATTGCGGCACCTGCCTACCCAAACAAAATAGCAACAAAATAGCAACAAACTCTCATACCTCGGTCTTGCAGCAGCTTTGTTTTTGTTTGTTTTGTTGTTGTTGTAGTTGTTTGGTTTTTGCAAAGTTTATTTGAAAAAGTAAAAGTGAAGCTTGAGGGAGAATCTGGCTCTGCAGAGTGAGCTTGGGCTGAGTAAGAGGAAAAGGCAAGATTAAAAGAGACTCGGGGATGCAGGGTGGGATATGCTGAGGAAAACCACGATAGCCTCATAGCAACTTTGGAAAGCTGTTTGACAAGGTTGATTAAGGCTTAGGCTGGGGTTGTAGCTCAGTGGTAAAGCACATGCTTCGCGTGCAGGACGCCCTGGATTTAACTGTCACACCAAAACAAACATAAAAAAGACTGGAGACGGCCGGGGATTTAGCTCAGTGGTTTCACCGCCTGCTGTGCAAGCGCAAGGACCAGAGTTCGATCCCCAGTACCAAAAAATAAAAGACTGGAGGAAAAAAAAATAGAGACCACCAAAGAAATGTATACACGGTATTCCTAGGAGCCAAAACTGGAAAACTCATAGGTGAATAGTAGAAATGTATAAATACTTGGCAGTACAATGTGGTGATAGAAAACAAACAGCATTGAAAACAATAATTACCAATACGCACACAATCACATGCATGAGTGTCACAAACATTTCAGGAAAAAAAGATATAGTATGATTCCACTTTATAAGACTTAAAAACTGGTGAAGGTGATATATGGCATCAGAGAGATCAGGGAAGAGGTTACCCTCTGGGAGAAGAGAGGACGAGTGACCAGGAAATACATGGGAAGAACTTCCGGGGCACCGTGCTTGCCCACCCCCCCCCCTTTTTTTTTGGTTCCGGGGATTGAACTTGGGACCTTGTGCTTGTGAGGCAGGCAGGGGAACCACTGAGCTAAATCCCCGGCCCTCCCCCTTTCTTGATTAGAGCTTGCTCACTTGGTAATAACTCAAGCTATCCTCTTAGGATGTCTGCATTTTTCTGTTTTCTGTTTTGCTTCAATAAAAGGGTTTTTTTCACACCATATGCTTATACGTTTGATTTTGTTAAAAACGCTAAATACAGCACTGTGGATTTATTGTTTTGAATTTTTATTTTTATTTCCTTTGATTAAGGTATTTTAAGGCTGGAGTTGTAGCTTAGTAGTAGAGCATATGCTTAGTGTGTGTAAGCCCCTGCACAAAATAAAAGGTACTTTCAGATCCTGGTTCTGAGCCAGCTGTAGTCGTGCACCAGTACATCACCAGTTTGAGCCCAGTAGCAACTTAATGAGACCCTGTCTCAAAAAATTAAAAAGGGCCAGGGCGTTGGGGATTTAGCTCAGTGGTTTCACTGCCTGCTGCGCAAGAGCAAGGACCTGAGTTCGATCCCCTGTACCAAAAATAAATAAATAAATAAAAAGGGCTGGGGTTGTACCTCAGTGGAAAGGCCCTGGGTTCAATCCCCAGCACTGGAAATAACATCCTAGTTCTGTCATTCAATATATTAGTTCTCCCTCCAATTATTTTTTAAAATTTCTTTCCCCCCAAGCTTTATTGAGGTAAAACTGACAAAATTGCACATATTCATGGTGTAGAACATGATATTTTGATATATGTATATACTGTGCAATGATTAAATCAAGTAAATTAATAGATCCATCACCTTATAAACTTACCATTCTTTTGTGGTGAGAACATTATTTAGCAATTTTTTTCTTTTTTTTGATACCAGGATCAAACTCAGGACCTTGCGCTTGTGAGGCAGATGCAGTGCCACTGAGCTAAATCCCTGGCCCAAGTATTTAGCAATTTTAAAGTATACAATACATAATTATCTACTCACCATGTCATACATTAGATCTTCAGAATGTATTCGTCATCCAACATCCCCACTCCGCCTCAGCCGTTGGCAGCCACCTACCCTCTCTCTGCCTCTGTGCGTGCAGTGTGTTCAGATTCCACGTGTGAGTGAGATCATCTCGTGTTTCTCTTTCTGTACCTGGCTTGTTTCGCTTAACATAATGTCCTCTAGTTCCATTCATGTTGTCACAAATAACAGCCTCCCTTTCTTTTCCAAGGCTGAATAACATTCAGGTGTGTGCACACACTTGCGCATGAGTGTGTGTGTGCTTGTGTGTGTGTGACATTTTCTTTAGCCATTCGCCTGTTGATGGCGGGACTGCCCGTCTCCCCTCTCCTGAAGTGAGGTGTGTTCCTGAACCTGGGTCATGGGTCAGCGCTGAAGTGAAGTATGTCGCTTCCCGGAGGAGAATAACTCACTCTGTTGCAGCCTCTTTCCTCTGCCTTGTGTCCACCCCAGTGTCCCTGCCTCAGTGCTGCAGGGAACAGAGAACCCCAGAGAATAACGAGAGTACCCCAGCCCACCTGCAACGGATGTGCAGTATAAGTAAAAGAATGAACAAGAAACGAGGCTTTATTGTTCCAAGCCATTGAGATTTTGGACTTGCTAAGGAAGCAAGACCTCGGTGAGCCTGAGTGACACATACCTGCCTGTCCGTGTTTTCTGGAATCCCCGTGTGGCCTCATCTTGTAAAATTCAGAAGCACAGACATTGCTGTGTGGCATAACATACGGGGTCCATTAGTCGGTGCCGAGCATTCGGGGAAGACAGATGTGCTCGCCAAACCCTGAAGGAAGGCGTGACTAATGTGACCTCAGAGTCCTATTCCCTCCTCCGGATCAGTGTCAGCACAGGCGAGACCTATCCTCGGCCAAGGAGAGCAATCCGCGTCCTGAGGAGCTCCGCCTTCTTTATGAATATCATTTCCCCATGTGATTGCCACAGTGGACTTTTCCCTACGCCAACCACCCCTACACTGACGCATGCACTGATGAACAGCTCTATGTTTAGACCACCTTTAAAAAGGAAGGAAACAGCTTGGCATAATGGTGCACGCTTGTGGCCCCAGCACTTGAGAGGCTGAGGCAGGAAGATTGTGAGTTCGAGTCCAGGCTGGTCCACATAGCAAGATCAGTGAGATCAAGGATAGACTGGGCTACACAGCAAGAACCTGCCCCCCCACACACAAAAAGAAAAAGAGAAAAGAAATTCAGAAGAGAATAAGCCCATCATCAGTTTCCTAGTGCAGTTCTTATTATTTGAGGTTACTAACATTACATTTATCAGTGTTTATATTTGTGGATATAAGGTCTTTAGGGCTGGCTACTTGAACTTATTTGAAATAACTAGGTGGGCTGGGCATTTAGCCCAGTGGCACCTGGCCTGCCTCGCAAGTGCAAGGCCCAGAGTCCGATCCCAGGTAACAGAAAAAAAATAAATAACTGGGTGTTTTATTGCTACTTTTTTCTCTTTCTCCTTTGTTCTCTCTCTCTCTCTCTCTCTCTCTCTCTCTCTCTCTCTTCCTCTCTCTCCCTCCCTCTCCCTCCCTC